CCCTACTAATCAGTATCAGAAGCATCAGAAGGTCTAAATGATCAGTTCTATGCTGGTGACACTCAAATGCACGTCCATACTAAACCTGACACTGAAGTGCCTGTGCACTCTCAAATTGCATCTTTGATATAAAAACCTGTCTGACTCAAAATTTCCTTCATTTAAACTGTGACAAGACTGAAGTCGTGCTTCTCGGTACGCACCATCACCTATGTATAACAAATGCTGTAACTCTATCTGTGAATATCACTGTACTTGAAGTGCCAAACTGGAGAATTTGGGGGTGATATTAGATCCAGGCTTGAGATTTGACACACATGTACACAATATTGTAAAAACATAATTCTTCAATCTCAGAAATATCACCAGACTATGTCCTACTGTATATTGTTTCTGACTGTAGCTGAAAAGCTTTTCAATACATTTGTCTTCCCTAGAATTGATTATGGCAACGCCCTACAAACTGGGGTATTTAAACCCACACTGAATAAACTTCAATATGTTCAGAACTCAGCAGCCAGAATCCTGACCAGATTGCGTGCAAAGATCACATTACTCCTGTCCTGGAGTCCCTGCACTGGCTTCCTGTCAGGTTTCATATCGACTTCAAAATCCTCATGCTCACCTATAAGGCTCTACATGGCTCGGAACCTCAATACCTGACTTATTATCTCACTGCTCCCCACCTCGCAGCCCCATGCCCAGGAGGATGGAAGAGGAAGCAAGAGAAATGCGAGAGTGAAAAGGTTCATGTGTGGTATTTATCAGTTTTCGAAATTATGTCAGTAGTGATGATGTGTTAGGGCAGCACAGCTTATTTCTCAAGATATCCGATCAGATTGTCATAATATATTTCTTCCAGCTATCACCAGAAATCTCTCAGTCTCCACTCCCAGAGCTCTACAGACACTGAATCTCCACCCCCATAGACTCTCATAGACTTTCTGTAATTTACTGAAAACATTTACGGGCACTTCCTATTCTTGTAACATGAGCAAGTATTGTCAGGTTTTCCTCATCACTAACATAATTTATCTCTCTCTGCACATCCACAAAGCAATTCTTCATTTTGTATTACATGGTGCAGATAAACTGTCATTTTAAAACAACAAGGATAAAATTTAAGGAGAACACTCGAGTGAAAACATGCTGAGTCCAAAACAGTCCGGCACAGTAATGCAGAACACTATCTGCTTTTAATCTGCTGTGATGAAAACTGAGAATGTAGTTTATGATATGAAATTTCAAGACTTAAGACAATAGTGCTGACTCACAAATGAAAAATGAGTAGAACAGTAAAAATACTAAACTCTTTTCATTTGCATACATGTCAGAAATCTTCCTCTACAGCATAATCTGGCAGCTTCATTCCAGTCAATTCAGAGTCACACAGTATTTTTGCTCTTTCCAGTCTGCCTTCCCGCCCATCCTAAGACAAGGCTAACAAGCGTCCTGCTGCTGTGGATACAGGTTTAAGCCAAATGACAGGTTCTGTAAAGAGGGCAGGTGGGGGTCTTTGAAGATATATTCCTGGGTTAGGGGGGGTGAATGTTTTTCCTCTTTTCTTTTTTGATAAATGACTTGTCTTTCCTCAGAGATGACTAACATCAAGCACAATTTATTAAGCCCACTGGCAAAACGCGGTGAAATTACATGGGCATGCTGTGGGGGACAGCCTGACGGGTATGATGGTCTATGCATCCTCTCCCCAACACTTTTTTTCTTTGTCAACAAAATTCCTGCCACACCCCCTCTCCTCACCACCACCTTTTAAAAGGCCGACCTCTTTCAGACCCAACCCAAAGCAGAGCAGAAATGTTCAAATAGGTTCAAATAGCTGGACTCAGGGGAAGGTTTGAACACTGAGACAGAGTGAAGAGATTGAAAACCATAAATGCAACCTCAGACATGAACAATTAATCACTACCGGACCAGCGAAATACATGAAACGGATGTTCAGTTGTCTTCATCCACCCAAAAAGTGAAAATCCTGGTGCAGGAAATAAGATGTCAAGTTTGAATTCATTTTTATAAACTCTGAACCAAAGGGTTCAACAACACCACCAACACCACCAATACGCACCAATACGCATTTCCCAGCTGTGAAAAATCATTTTTATCTAAATGATAACAACACAATTTAAGAGGAAATAATACATTTACTAGGTAGGGAAGTGGAGTTTCAAAAGTTTATAAACATCTCTAATAGATCGGTCTTTGAACATTTTGGTTTATGAAACTACCAAGTTGAGAACAATTATCAGTTGCATTAAGGAGAAAGCTGGCTTAGAATTATTACACTTAAGTAGTTTTAGTATTAAGTAGTTTTCTAGCTAATCGCCCATGAATAAATGTCATGAGCTGAGGGGAAACCGGACTAACAGCGAATTTAGAGTATGTTTCCGCTGTGAACGATGCTGGTTTGGTAGTTATACTCCCACAAGACATCAAAGGCTCTGAGAAAAACTGAGACTGATAACTTAAACTCCCGGCTTCGAAAGGGTTGTGGGAGTTCGGAACAAGCCACACAGATGTGCAGCTGAAGCTACTGTGGTTGATGCACACTGGAAACTACTGGATGAGATACTTAGATTAATTAACTACTAACAACCAAGGAGACCGGGATGGGCTGTGTTGCCTCCTCGCCTGTGGAATCTTCTGTTTACAGTTATTTTGTGCTCTTACAGTATGTCACACCCCTCATGCATGTTCTAAAACAGTATGAAAGAGGGGTCAACACTGGCTTTATGAGCTTGATATTTTATTCAATCGATTGAGGTTAAGAGAACCATTTCTCTGGAAAAAAAATAAAATCAAAAAAAAAACAAAACCTTAAAAAAAAACCCAAGAAAACAAAGGCCCGAACGAAAGAATTTCCGCAACAATGAAAAAAAAAAACCCTTGTACTGACAGGTTAGGTGTTAATCTGAGAACAAAAGAGATAAGCAGGAAGACAAAGGATAGAAGTGGACCCTGGCTATTTCCTAAAAATATTCTCTGAATGCAAAATAGCTCATGTTGTCCTTAATATTAAACTGTTTCTGTTGCAACAACGAAAAGATCTAACTTCTGTTCTCTGATAAATATTGCCTGAGGTATTGTAAAGTCTGTCATGAAAGCACAGAAACAGACAGAAGCCAATAATACCTTAAAGGACAATACTCCAAGTTACAGCAAGATGGCATTCTTCTTACACAAGGGGCTCCAGCCTGGCCCCACTGTTCAAACAGCTCAAAGTTTGCTCATACGTCTCTTTGTAGATCCAGAGGAGCACCTCCAGTATTTAAACACATACATGCAAAATTCTCTCCAAGACTAAAAAACCGAGGTTGAGACTGAGGACGGCCTGCTGTGACCATGGTGATGAAACAGCCTAATACAGCTATGTGTGCTGGCACGGACCTGAGACACAGGCTTTCAGACTGAGCCACATAGCCCCCAGACACTTTCACTCTCTAACTGCCCCTTCGGGAAACTACCTCCTCGGTTACACTATGTTCCAGCTCGGGGCGCCCAGGGGATCAACTTCTTCATACCCACAGACTGCACTCTTTTCAGCAGGTGGGCAGGACCAGGAACACACACCTAGGAGTGCACTATTCTAACTAGTCTCTGGAACCCAGTAAAGCATTCACTGGTATTAAGACCAGGACACACAAACCTTCAACAAAATGAAATCTCCTGATGATACTCCAAAGAGTGAAAGTAAAACCTTTTGATGAAAGCAAGTTAACTGTTTTGTAGGATTATAACATGGATGGATCACAAACGTCTTAAGCACACCTCGCAGTCCTGAGGAATTCAGAAAATATAATAGTGCTCATTTACTCCCCCAGTCCGCCATGTCTTGGAGGGGGAGGTCATGGAGCTCTTAAGAAGGTTTGCACTGGAGTCTTCACCTCAGGCTGGTTAATCTCACACAGAGAGCAGAAGCAGTGCAGACAATCTATAGAGAGTGGTCTTCATTCACCATTCGACACACTCAGAGTGGGTTTATAATATACAGTAACAGCAACTATATACAGTATATATTATAGTTGCACCTTCACACCTGAAGAAGGCTCCACGGCCGAAACGTTGTGTTTTCTTTCTTCTCTTTTCAGCGTGGAATAAACCTATTACTTGTTCCTATATCTTATGTATAACATATAATTTAAATTATTCAGTTGAATACACATGGCATTGCTGCATTTACTCAAGGAGCTCAAAAGCTAATATGCGATGAACTATTAAGCTACTTAATATATAATAACTTCTTAAATTGTTACTTTTAAAAGTTTGAAGTAAAGTAAAAGTTCAAAATGGAATTCTTAGATAAAAAAGTTTGCACATTTCAAAAATAACTAAAAGACCAATGTTGCATGTTTAAAAAAAACAATTGAGTAACCAGAATTTTCTGCTCTAGCAATAAAGCTACCAAATTACTTTGACATTTCTAATAAAAAAGGTAGGAGAAAATGACGTGTTCTAGCGTTGGAATAGACAGTAAACATTTCTTCAAGTTTAAAAGCCACTATCCCACAGCTTAAAACACAGCTAAACACAGCAGAAACTAAAAACAAATTAAGTCAAGCTCTCTGGCCCCATTCACTCTCTGTGTAATTCAGGGAGAGCGATGGTACAAGAGAATAACCTCAGGGAGAAGACCAATATAACCAGGAGAGACAGCACACACCACTGCTCTGCGCAGGAACTCGAGCTGCTGCACTGTTGCTTCACAACACTGTGTCCACCACCCTTTCAACAGAGATTTATAGCCAAGACACTGGAAGCCCAACACAACCACCCAGCTGGGACTGAACGGCAGCTTACAGAGCTGGGGTGGGCAGTATATTTAAACAACAGGTTTCGTTGGCATGAATAAAAGCTGACAAAAAACTGGAGTGTTTTTCCTGATTTTTCTCCCACCACTCCAGCATTTCGGGGGGCAGAGGCAGCAGCGGGGGAGGAGGGAGGGGGGCGGCCGAGCCGCTGCAGAGCAAACACAGACACAGACTGACCTTTGCACGTTTTCCCATCAGGCTGCAGGGTGAACCCTACCGGACAACTGCATCGCACTCCAGTGGCCGTGTCTTTGCAGGTCCGGTCGCAGCCGCCGTTGTTGACAGCACAGGTTTCTGAAAGGAAGAGGCACAGGGGGACGGGCAGAGCCCCACGTTACTACAGTAGGAACACAGCTGCCTCCCCACGAATGAAGAGCAAAGACTCACAGAGCAGACACGTGCATTGATCCGTTATCAAACGTGTCCTGCCTAATGACTCGCTTAAACCTGGCCTTTGCATTTTCAACCTTCTTCAAGCTCAAGCAAAGAATAGTTATTATGCAAATAAACAAGATCCTGGATCACAGAATTCCAAGCCTATTCTTTTCTGCAAATTGAAGCAACACATTGAAGTAACTCTACGCTAGCAATGCCTCTTACATTGCTAAAGCAAGGTTTTATCGTGCACCTATTAGTTGTCAAAAAAACACTTATTCCTGGTGAGGGATGCAGTCAGCCAAATGCTGTCCCAGAATCACAGAGTGCAAGAAGGGATGACACCATGGCCAGGCCACCAGTCTATCACAGAACACACTCGGGGAATTTGGAACTTCCAATTAACCAGCTTGTTCTCAGAAGGTGGACGAAATTAGAATCGCCTGTAGGAAACTCTGCAAATACACAAGTTAACATGCAAGATGATCGGGTCTGGAATTGAACCCAGAACCTAAAAGCTGTAAGGCCGCAGTGATAACCTCAGTGTCACCATGATATACCTTGTTCAAATGTTGAAGCACAAACTGCATGTATGGTCCTTCAATTAAAAAACGAATACTCTGACATGTTTTTTGGACTTGATATAGACAATGCTGCAGCAGAACAACTTACAGTTTAGAGCTTCAGCTTGCTCTAAGATTTTGTTGATTCATACTGAACCTCATCTAGACTGAACTGATACTGTGTGTGAAAAAGGCCAGCAAATGCTTCCAAATAAGAGTGATAATGTATATCAATGCAGGTACTGTACATATTGAAATGATTAATTAAGAACAAGTAATTGGGAAAACCCTCATTTAGCATACTGTGTACAATTTGGTCAGCACAATACAAAAGGAGCTCGGGAGAGAGGCGCAGCCAGGCGAGGTAAAGAACTGTATGCCCTCAGTCTTCAGACAGCTTTACCAGATGATTTAATTCAAGTCTTTAAATCTTCCCAAGTTACTGGCAGCACTGACCCAACATGCTGATTCACACTCAATTTTAAAACAATGGGTGATTCACCCTATCCTTCTTTTTTTCAATGAATAACATTTTCAAAAATTGTAGAGGAGCAGCAGGTGAAGTCAGCCTGATGGTAAGAAGGAGTGAAGTAACTGGATCCTTCGATCCGTGTCTTTCTAAAACCCAAAGGCCTCAACCACAAATGGCTCCAATGATAATATAATGATAACTAATGATAACTGTTGAGTAGTGAATACATTTTATTGTATAATGAAGCACCACGTTGATAAACCACACTGAAAACTATCTCCTCAAACAACCAATGCAAACACACATCTAGATTTTAAAGGTTCAAATTTACACACACTGAACCTGTGAGACTGCTGCCCATGTATGTAAAAGTGTGAAGAAACAGAAGTGAGGAGATTAATGAAATGACGCACAGTACTGGCAAAACACGCTCCTTATGCTCCTTAAAAGTGAGTGGAATAAGCTGGGATCCTAGAGAGACGTGAACCTGGAGGCGCTCCTAGCACACAGAGGGATTGTGCTGAGGGGGAGCACTGGCACTGTGATGGACAGCCTCCTCATCCACCAGCAACCTCATTTCTGCAGATCTTGCACTCTCTGCCTGCTTTTAGCCCCTGTAGTGTAGTCACAAGGTTTAACAATGAATTTCAATTCAATTGCCTGATTCTTCCCTGCACACTCACAGTCCGCCCAGCCTTTGGAGTCAGTGGTAAGACAGACACATGCAGGGGTGCTAATGATGCACACGTCTGCAATAGGTTCCTTGTCTTGGTGGACACAAACGTACTTCTAGGGTTGTTACAGGTGTCAGGATGGGATACTGCTCACACACAGAATGTTCTTCTACCCGTCTTTCCCAAGCATCTGCTTTCAGCTGTGAATACAAGTTTATTCTGCAAATAATTCTAACATTCGTCCTACCAGGATGATTTGGGGTCGAATGGCTTCCTCTTCAGTTTGCAACTGTTCTTACTGTACGTAAATATTTTCAGCACTTTGAAGCTAAGTCATCAAGCACTAATGTATTTTCAGTGTCTCACATTTTTAAGTTAGAAAAGAAACATATTAAGCAACATAATGTTTCCATTGTGAATATCATGCACAGCACAAGGATGACCAGAATCAACGGCACAATAACTCAGAAAGCAAAAAAAGAGGTGGATATAACATGCAAAGCCACCAAAACCAAATATTTGCAAAACTGCAGAAAGTTCTGGGATGCACTTATTCAAATTGTTGTTTTGATAATACCTACTGTACATGCACGAAGAAAATAAAAAACATTTCCAAAGTCGAAATAAAAGCTGAACATGGAGAGAAACAATTACAGCCAAAGAACAAATCCAAGTGGTGACAGTTCTTGGGCCTGCACTGTAACTGGAAACACACAACCGAAGAGCGAAGTAGTACCAGATGCAGCACGTCTTGAGCATGCTTAGCCTTCTAAACAATATTATTAAAGTCAGGATGCATAACATAGAAATAGCCTCAACAAATTATTGCTTTACAATAATTTGCTCATTTGCGTGACGCTACAAGCTCTTCATCTGCATAATTTTCTTTGATGGGGGCTACATTAACATGACAAAAATGTGTCAAACTCCAGGCGTTCGATCGGACTCCTGGGGCAGTTCAATTCAACCTCCTACATCACAAATATCCTCCCATTAATTCCTCATTTGCTCTGCCTAATCAGCATCCATTAGGCAGCTGGAAAGCAATGGCACAGACTGGAGCCAAACACACTTTCCGGATACTTCGTCACCAATAATTTCTTACACAGTTCAAGAAGTATTCTACTGAACAATACAAATATTGTATTTTTTCTTAAGTTATTATGTGTTATTCTTTAGTTATTGTTGATGTGTAACTGAAAATTAACTGCTTCTCTGTAGTCTTGCTCCATATACTGTATCACATCTCCTAGGATTTCTATACTGTTGATGGTCAGAACGAAAGAATGCATACAAGTGAGAGGACGCCAATTAACCCATCTAGGCTGTTTGGTCGTTAGAAGTTAATTGATCCAAAGACCAGATCAAGCCATTGAAGATAGCCTGGGTACAACATGGCTGGGTAGCTGGTTCGGTACTCCTGTAGCTCCTGTTCTCAGTTTTAAATCCACTTAAATGCAGAGTTTCGACGTGCATTCTCGGATTCATGTTTCACTGTTCATTTTGAAGACATCCACTTGGGAGATGATGTCAAAGGAATTTGAAGACTTGATAGCTGGTGCAGACATCGGCACCTGCACGTCGTTCTGTAGACACAGCAGACCTTCGCTATTATCTCCCCATGTCTCTTGTGATTTTCAGGCTCCTCCCAGCTGCCAGTACGTCAGGAACGGTGTCCCACGCACACAGTCACGGCGCTCCTGTCCACCTGCCCGATGGTGTCTGTGTTGTTTCTGACAGCTCGCTCAACCAGGAGCTCCAAGCTATAAACTGCCCACCATGCAGTCCTCCCAGGACAGAGCTTACTGCAGACGAGGTGCTCAACTAAAAGCTCATCCGAGGACAAGCCTGGTCCCACTTTACAGCGCAGAGCCTGGGAGGAGATGAAGGACTTTACTGTTGGTGGTGCTAAAATCAGCCACATGTTGAAACCCGATCAGCCCTGGTTTTTTTGATTACCGGACAGCCTTTCACAGTGACGTAGACAAATTCTTTGCTTGACCGTATTCTAAAATACAGAATTGTTGATTAGAGGCAGCGACACCCTAGACAAATCTACACTTCTTTGCAATGCCTCTTATATAATACCCTCCTTTGTGGACACTAACAAAGGATGTGCAATTGTTATATTTTATATGACTCACTAACTCCTTTGCTCTCTCAAGCTTCTTGTTTCAGAAATGCAAAGAGTGACAGTTGTCTCTGAAGGTTTTCAGCTTCCTGCTTCACCTCAGTGGGCTCTGAAAGCCCCGTGCAACCCCATGTCCTGCAGAGGAATGCGCACTCTGGAGCAACAGCAGCTATAGCTTCATGGAGTGAGCTGAGTGTAAGTGGCACAGGAGAAACACCCGTGGAGTGGAAAATCACTAATGTACAACTGTAAATTCAATAAATTCTAACATAAAAAGGATCATTACACTATACCAAACCAAGTAATTAAAGCTCAGTTACTCCTATTTCTGTTACAGCTAAGGTTGTCTAAATCATAATCAGAATGACACTAATAGATTATCTGTATCTTATTATCTTATTTTCTAGGGAGATACCATAGGCTTAGAAAAGGTAGGTCTTACCTCACTATTTAATGTGGGTGTTTGGATTTATAACTGATTAATGGACAGGCAGCAGAGGGCTCAGATAGCCCTCAGATAGGGGTAAACACTCAAAATGATGCTGATGTGTGAGGCAGAGTACCTCAGTCCTAGGATCATTGCTCTTCCTTATTGATATCAAGATCTAGATTCTGGTGTAGTTAGTAAACTAGTCACATTTGCATAGAAAGCCAAAACAGGCGGAATAGCAAATAATGTAGAAGCAGCAAAGGAAGGTAAAAAACAAAACAAATTCAAGCCCAAATAAACACCTAGCAGAAGATATTTAAAGCTGTGTAAACTATTTATCTGTCGTCAGGTGGAGAGGGCTACAGTATGTGCATGTTGAAGATACGTGAACTATAAATTCTAATATGAGATGCTGCTCAGTCCCCGAAGATGTAACGTCTAAAAATTATTTGATGTTTATGCAGAAAACGAGTTTTGAAAAAGATATTTCACTCCTTTCAATATTTTAGATTATAAATACTTTGGTCAGGTCCGTCCCCTCATAGTCTTTTCTGTTCAGGACTAAAGAGATTCAGTTCCTTTAGCCCATTAGTGTAGTTCATTTCATTATTCCCTGGAATGTGTCTGTTTGTTCTTCTCCGGGCTGATT